CTTTCTTATAGTGTTTTTTATCCTTTCCAATAGTATTTTATTGAAATGAAGTAGTTTTAATAAATTTTTATTAAAAAAAATTAAAATACTTTATTTTTAAAACATAAATTAGAGTTTTTTTTTTTGTTTTTTCTTCTAATGTTTTTTATCCTTTCCAATAGTATTTTATTGAAACGAGATAGTTTTACAATAATTTTTTTTAATATTTAAAAAGTAAGACAGATAAATATTAATTTTTTACAATATTATATTATATTATATTATAACTATAATATTTTTATATATATTATCCCTCCTAAGTACTTTAAGATTTAAAGTTTGAATTTTAGGGTTAACATCTAAAAATATCAATTGTAAATATTATAAATTTATAATATAATGTGTTATAATGTATGGAAACAATCTTACTTGAACACAAGGCTGCCATCGATAAAGAGCTTATAAGCAGCATCTCAGGATCGATTCATTTCATTGTGATTTCACGGCTTTGACAATTGTTAAACAGGTATATATTGCAACTTGATTTCTTCTTTGAGAAAGAACAAAATGGCCTTGTTACCTCTATATGATGGTTAGTGAAATTCTTAGCAATCTGTGTCTTGCTTGTTTGTGGATTATTCCTGTGATTGTGATGCTTGTTTGTGGGTTCTCTACCCCTAAAAACTGGAACAAATTTCCACAGAAAAATATTTGGTAATGGATTCAAGTAGTTTTAATTTTCACAATGGATGTTGGAGGTTAGACGTGAGTTTCAACTCATCACCAAACCAGTTTCATTGAATCTCTTCAAAGATGATGATCAGGGTGAGCATCTTGTGATAGCAAATGTTGGTTCTCGAGTTGTTCTGGCAACAACCTCTGATGATGGCAGCTTAGCACCACTTCAACTTACAGTTGATTTCAAGCCTAATATACCTGGTTAGCTCTCTTGTTTCCTCTGTGAATCCCAATGTGCATTCGTTGGATTGTGTATATATACGCCTATATGTTTCGTGTTTATGCTAATGTAACAGAAGAAGCTGAAAGAATAACACAATCCAAAGGGAGAGTGTTCTGTTTAAGGGATGAACTAGGAGTCTACAGGGTCTGGATGCCAAATGCACAGACAACAAGATTAGCAATATCAAGAGCCTTTGGAGATTACTGCGTAAAAGACTTTGGACTCATTTCTGTGCCTGATGTTATCTAAAGAAACATAACAAACAAATATCAGTTTGTCATTCTAGCTATAGATGGGGTATGCAATGTCTTCAATTTTCCTTAATTTGTGATGATTTTACACACTTCAGGATGAAAATTTGAACCAGAAAATTCCTAAGGCCTTGTTGACATTATTCTTTCTCTTTTATTGCATAAAAGAACTCACCCTTTTTCATTGGTATGGCTTGCTTCTACCCAAGTGTAGGATGTGATTTCCAATCAAGAAGCAGTGAAGCGTGTTTCTTCAACAAAGGATAGGGAAAAATCATCTAAGAGATTGTTGGAATTTGCTGCTCATCCCTGGAAATATAAGAGACAAAGAATTGCAATGGATGACATGTCAGCTATCTGCCTCTTCTTCCACCCAGAGGCATTTAAGCACCCCAACCCACCATCAAGGTCTCTAAAGGAGGCCACCATGAGTAAAGCACGATAACAGGGCTGGTTTTCCATATACGTACATACGACTTTCGCTTCAAATGGTGCTATTGTAATTGTTGTGTACACATATATAAACCGATCGTTTGTGGATTTATACAAAAGGAAAAAGTGCAATAAAATCTCATTTTGTTTAAAGCAGATGCTCTCCAATATATGAAGACAATGTAATTAACATGTATAAATTACTGATAATCGGTTATGTAGCCTTATAAAGTTATAATAATCTTCAAAATGGCTTGCTTTGTTATTGGATATGTTGAGGATCATGAGTCAATTTTTGGGATCATATTCATGTTATATGATTAGGGAACAAAATTAAAACCCCATATGAATTCTACCATATAGATTTTTTAGTACACCCTAACAAGACCATAAATATGCAAGGAAATACCTCCTCTCGGAAGAACAAGAAAAAAATGTTATGTTATTTTTGAAGTAAAGGAATGAAAATATAGTTTGTAATAGTATGTTTAGTTTTTAAAAAAAGAATGAAATGAAAATTCTTTATTTAGTTGGTAAAAATTGAAAGGGAAGGAAGTGGAGTCCTTTATTTTTTACTTAAATTCCTCCACTTATACAAATGAGGGAGGGAAGGGAAAGGAAGAAAAAATGTGCATTATCCTTCTATTTCACTTTCTTTTACTTTTCTTAAATCAAATATACCATAAAAGTTTGTGACATAGGTTTTTTTTTTTTATTTCTTTTGATTTAGTTGTCAAGGTGTTATTGTGTTAAGCTCTATCAATCCCAAAATTAATGTCTCTTTAATATGATTAAAGATAAATCATCTACATGAAACTTATGATATTCATAAAAAATTATTTTTTATTAGTATTTTAAAAAATTAAATCTTAATTAATAAAATAAAAAACAAATAATTTTATCAACTAAATTACAATTCTTGATTTTATCTAAGAGTTTATGAAAGAATATAATTTCCCCCTTAAAGGGGATGTAATTTAGCTTCTTCTTTTTTAAGAATAAAATTCTATTTTGAAATTTCAGTTGTCGTCGTAACTTTTCTTAAAAAAAAAGAAAATCACGTGCGTAGCGGGTGGTATTTGACTGTTCCAACCAATTGACAAAAGCACCCCTTCCATTTTATCAATTTCCAAACAACCCCACTCATAGATCCCCGCATCACCATCTCCATCCTCCGTCGGCGGTGTATTCTCCGCTCCGCCATCCTCACATGTCCAATTCTCTACTGCTTCCCCTCCATTTGCGGCCAATACCTCATTTCCCATCCGCGCTCGTGCGCGTCGGAGACAAGAATCCCCGCGCTGTACCTTTCTCAACTCTAAACCTTACTTCAACGTGCGCTTCCAGCGGCCGCCAGCCACTTCCTCCGATCATGTCTTCGGAACCTATTTCTTCGTCGACTAATTCTTATCTGAATCAACTCGACGACTTGGCTGATTTTGAAAAGATTCTCTCTCCCGACGGACGCATCTCTATCTGCGGCTTCGGTTCTCTCCTCTCCGGTGCGCACAAATATTGATGGTCTATCATCGTCTATGATCATGAAGTTGATCGTCTTTTGTAATTTTGAGACCAGAGAGGAGCGCTAAAAGTACTTTTCCGGATTTGATAAATTTTGGAGTTGCGAGATTGAATGGATTCCGGCGTGTATTTGCACATGTTACTCCGATTTTCTTCGAGCGTGAAATCGCTAATCCTGAAACCAAGGTGTGCATACGCAATTCTAATATTTTGCTTCTTATCTGTTTGGTTTTCAAATTCCTAGAAAATTTAGGCAAAGAAGCATTATCTGGTAAAGACACTAAAAAAATTTGTCCTAGAGGCAAGGAAGTTGGCTTTATAGCAATTCATTTTTATGTTGATGACGATGATTTTCAGGAGATTTCAAGCTTGAGTGTGGAGCCTTGTGAGGGAGAAACCCTCATTGTCACTGTCTTTGAGATTCAAAAGTCAGAGGTATTGATAATTGACTATTCTATCGGTTGCTGTTGCTTCACTTCTGAATTTGGTTCTTTTCTGAATGAGAAAAAGACCCAGAAATGTTATTTACTCATTTGAAGTTTTAACTCAAATCTATTACTCCTTGAAGTCAGATACCAGCTTTCATGGAGAGAGAACTCGAGTACCGCTTTCTAGCTGTAAGTTGCTATCCATGTTACCAGACTATCCATTTGATTGTTTTGTTGTTGTCATGGACTGACTTATTCTTTTACAGGTCCTGCCTGAAACGCTTCATGGAGAACCCTTTGGCCATCCTGCAGTATGTGCTTTTATCATTATTATTAATGGGTTTTACTTTGATCTCTTTTTGGTTATGTTATGGTCATAGTTAGGGTTCTAACTTCTAAAGATTTATACCATATTGGGATTTTCATTGCAGGTGCTTTGTGCTCGGTATAGTGATGAAGAATTTTTCCAAATCAGATGCAAAGGTACTTTAATAATATTCTCATTGGTAATTGTGGATACCCAAGATTACAAGGGAAAGGATAATGTTAGTTCTCAATGTTGCTTTATATATTTCCTAAAAGAAGGTATGCTTGATAAGATACTACTAGATTAAGGTTTCTTGAGCCAATGAAGAACTGTGCCCTATTACAGCTTTTAAACACATATTGAGCCAAAGTGCAATATTATGAGACCTAAATATGATTTTCCTTGTCATCTCGTGTTCATACATAGCACATTTATCATCTTATCTCCTAGCACATACCAAGCCACTTAAGAAACAAAAGAATGAGAGTCTAGGCTGAAGCCTAGACATGGATAGATCTTCACAAAGAAACAGAACGATTTGATAAATTGAAAGATTTATTCTTGTCAGATTCTCCTACCAAATTTCCTTGCTTTTCCTTCTGCACAATGGTTAGGTAGGAAATAACATTTGAATTTCTAGGCCTCATCATTGAACTACAAAATTTAATCTGTTGGTTTTCCATCTTTTTTTCCCTCTTGGCAGGAAGCAAAGAAATATATTTTCAGCACTATGGACGATACAACATTGATAAGATTTGGCGAGATGATGTCTTACCATGCCGTGTCTATCTTAGGCACTGGTATGTTCATTTCATACAAAACGTGTTCCTCATGTCAATTTTTAACTCTTTTTATGTTTCTGCCTGGGTAACATTCTTGAAAAGTCATCATATCCTGCAGTTACCATATTTCTACATTCTTATTTGCACACAGAGATGCATAGTAAACCATCCAACAAGACTATTAACTCAATTTGCCTTCATAGCTAGTGAATTAATTGTTTGTAGATCATATCACTTTCTCTGTGCCTAAGGCATGCTGTTTTGGATTCCCTGTAGTGTGTTGGCAGCTAAGAACCTTGGTGATGTTGCATACAACAACTTTCTGGATCACACTTACCTTGGAGATCGTAAGACCACCATCCGTACATATTTAGCTACAAC